GTGGCAATTGGTCAGAGAGATGGAGCCTGTTCCCTGGCTGGAGGTTGGCAATGTAGTCCAGAGGGGACACATCCTGCCTTTCTGCCAGGGCGTCTCTGCCTTCCTAAATCTGCCTACAGGCAAGCTTGTTAAGAGCTAGTTCTATGGAAAGCTGTCACTGGTCATCAGAACCACAATGCTGCTTACTGTTTGTTAGAAGAAGCACATGTGCACTAATTGGCTGGGCAACAAGGCAAAAGAATTCTCTCTTAAGGAGAAAAACATCCTCAGTCCTCTTCTATTAGCAAATTACTACTATTATCCTTTTAGTGCCTCTCTATATGTCAAGCACTGTGTTACCTGACACATCTGGTAAAGTAACTATCACAATATCCACTTCACAGAAAAGGAAATTTAGGAGCACCTAGATTAACTGAGTGTCTTTGCTCATACAGCTAAGAAGCAAAGCGGCCAGGATGCAAAACCTAGGCATTCCTGCCGCCCAAAGTCTGGGAGCATTTCCCCCCAACACTAGGGTATAGTAGAATCCAAACAAGCCAGGCCTTGGTTTCCTGCTCAAGTGTGCTTTCATCCACATTCTCCTAACTTCCATTTTGCCATTTATCAGCCATTAAAACAACTGTGTAACTGAGATTATCAACTCTGTTGAGGCATTTTTGAGAATGGGTTTTTATAGCCTGAAGAGGGAAGGCTTGAAGGGGACATTGAGCCCCTCACTTGGGGTGAGGGAAGAAACCAGCTGTGTGCAGAAATGAAATGAAAACAAATTCACTTGTTAACTGAGGGCTAGCTCTCCATGGAGGACCTAAAAATATTTTTATATCTACTGCCAGACTGAACTTCTGTCACAGCTCTTCGTGTCACCAGTAGGAAAATATGGATTCCTCCTAGAGCTCTTGATTCTAAATCTGTTAGTACACTTTTCAAAAATAATGTTAATAGATAGAATACAATGGAATCCTAACCACAGTCACTTTGCCATCTTCACGAAAATATTGGCTCTGGAAAAGGGACAGCATGGTAGGAAACTAAAGACACAGAAATATGTTTTGAGAATCATATTCCTGGACTTAAACACATCTCACATTAAGGAAGGTTGGCTGAGGCCAAGGTTCCCAAGGGAAGGAAGGGGCAGAAGCTGAGTAACTTTTTTTTTGCGGCCTCAGGGAGACCAGGGCAGTCAGGGAGGGTGTATTTTGGTTTCTACTACCTCTTTCAGGGGAAAAAGCAGTCCAGATTAGGGTGTCCTCCATGAAAGTAGGGGTGATTTGCCTTAACCAGGATAGACTACAGGCCCTCCATGAAACTGGGAAGATGTTTCCTGTTGGCCCATCCCATTTCCTCTTTCAAAGGGCCTCTCCCTCTCCTGGGTGTCCCAAATCTTACTGCTTCTGACAACCTAAGCCACCAGGTTAGTTAGTGTAGCTTCTGTGTACTATAAGATGCTCTAGGCCAATGGCACATCCAATAAATTTGACACCACCACCATCTCTGATTCCTATTGTCTCCATTCCCATTTGATTGAATTAAATAGTTAAATACACAACTGTTTTTAAATTATGTTTTAAAGCTAACTTGATGGTTAAATGAGTTCTGATTAAGAGAGATATTATTTCTACCTTACATTTTGGTAAGTGTTATTGTGTCACCCAAAAGATCTACTGAAGTCCTAGCTTTGATAACTCTGAATGTGACCTTATTTAGAAATAGAGTCTTTGCAGATAGAACCAAGTTAAGATGAGGTCATACTGGATTAGAGTGGGCACTGGTATCCTTAAAAGAAGGTTGTGAACAGACACAGAAATAGACATGTGTTTCTATAGACAGAGAAACACATACAGGGAGAAGGCAGTCATGTGGCAATGGAGGCAGAAACTGGAGTGATGCAGCTGTAAACCAAGGAATGCCAAAGATTTCAGACAACCACTAGAAAGTAGGAAGAGGCAAGGAAGGATTTTTGCCTGGAGCATGTCTGAGGGAACATGTCTCTGCTGACAGGTTGATTCTGGACTTCTAGCCTTCAGAACTGTGAGAGAATAAATTTGGTTTTTTAAAGCCACCCAATTTGTGATACTTTGTTATAGCAGACTTAGGAAATTAACACAAGTTCTCTCATATGCATTAATCTTTTTTCCTTTTTTTTCCTCGTTTTGCTACCTTTTGCATCCCTAGGGCTTATCAAGGTTCTTGGCAACATAATGGGAGCTCAATTCACACATGTTGAATGGATGAGTGAACTGATTATGCATGTGTACAATCTTTATAATTATACTTTCTGATCTACTTCAGTTGTTTACTATTGCAAGGGGCCCATGAATCCATAAAACCATGCATGTAGACTGAATAAATAATGCTTATCACATCAAGCTACTCTTATATTAACATAAGAGCCAAACAAATAAACAAAACTAACAACTGACAAAAATTCCTATCAAAAAAGTTAGGATGAAGTTACATTTGTCGATAGGAAAATAGGAAGATTTTCAAAAGGAGCAGTCTGTCTTCTCTTCTCCATATTCTCTCTGAAATTGTCAAAAGTTATCAGTCATGCCAGTAATATATCATAGTCACTGCCATAGTCAAATCCTCATCTATAGACTCTGGTCTGTATAAGAGTCATTATCATTGACTTGGTAAGTAAGGCCAAGGAGGATATGACCCATTATCTGTATATGTCTCTTGCTGCTGTCAAGATGTAGAAGTCACTCACATTCGTGAAACAGATGGATGCAGCTTGAATTATGAAATCTTCATCTTTTCCAAATGCTCTTTTTTGTAGCCTTCCTCTCCTCGTTGTTGAAATAAACTTATAATCCTACTCTACACGAGGCTAGATCTGCACTAGGACAGTGTTTCTCAAAGTGCACTCAAAGGATCACCTGCATTGGAACTATCTTATAAAGCTAGTATAATTAAAACAGTATGTTATTAGAGCATGAGGAGACAGGTATAGTCATATCACAGAAGAGAAAGTCTGGATAAACCTAAAGCCACATAGAATCTAAAATATGATAAAAGGAGCAATTCAAATCTGGGCAACGACAAAAGTAAGGAATAGATTATTCCATAAATCGTGTTGGGGAAACTGCATAGCCATCTGAAAAAAATTGCAAGCAAATTCTACATCTTATTCTAGAATAATTCTATCTGGATTGGATTTTTTTTTAATTTTTAAATGTTTATTTATTTTTGAGAGAGAGAGACAGAAATTGAATAGGGGAGGGTCAGAGAGACAGAGACATACACACACAGAATCTGAAACATGCTCCAGGGTCTGAGCTGTCAGCACAGAGCCCTGTATGGGGCTTGAACTCACAAACTATGAGATCACAGTTTGAGCTGAAGTCAGACGCTTATCTAACTGAGCTACTCAGGCAACCCTATTTTTTTCTTTAAATCCATAAAGATACTATAAATATCTATGGGATAGGAGGGGTGCCTGGGTGGTTCAGTCAGATGAGTGTCCAACTCTTGATTTAGGCTCAGGTCGTGACTCCAGGGTCATGGGATGCGACCCTTCAGTGGGCTCCATGCCAAGCATGGGGCCTGCTTAGGATTCTCTCCCTCCCTCTGTCTCCACACTCTCTCACTCTCTCTCTAAAATAAAAACATTAAGTTAAATTCAAAAGAAAGAGGGGTGCCTGGGTGGCTCAGTCAGTTAAGCATCTGACTTTGGTTCGGGTCATGATCTTGCGGTTCATGGTTTTGAGCCCCGCCGTGGGCTCTGTGCTGACAGCTCAGAGCCTGGAGCCTGCTTCAGATTCTGTGTCTCCCTCTCTCTCTGCCCCTCCCCCGCTTCTGCTCTGTCTCTCTCTCTTTCTCTCAAAAGTAAATAAACATTTAAAAAAAATCAAAAGAATCTATAGGATAATTTTTCATAATTCAGAAGGGTGAAGGCCTTTCTAAGTATAACATAAAACCCAGACGTCACTAACACTAAATAAATAAAATATTAATGAATTCAGTAATAGTTACATTTTTATTAAAAGCTATAATGCAGAAGCCACCAAAAGGGAAGCCAAAAGATAAAAGACAAACTGGGGAAAATATTTGGAGCTCATATAACAACCAGAGCCTTAATTTCTCTAATTGATAAAGAGTTCTTACAAATCAGTAAAATAAAGATCAAAAGATCCAGTAGAAAAATGGTCAAAGGAAACAAACAGGCTTCACACACACAAAAATACAAACGACTCCCAAACATATTAAAATATGCTCATCCTCCTGTCTTGGCAAAAGAATTATAAATTTAAACAGCAATGAGATACTATTTTGACCTATCATATTGGCAAAATTAAAAAGTTTGACAGTACAGTTTGTTGGCTAGAGTTTGTGAACAAATGGTACTCATGCTCGTAGGAGTATAAATCAGTGTAACTTCTGTGAAGGGCAATTTGGCAATATCTACCATTTGGCCCAATAATTCCACTTCTAAGAATTCATCCAGATATAATCACTTATGTGACATTTATATGTGATGCTTGTTACACTGTTTACAGGTGAGAGAGATCAGAAACAATCTACCTGTCCATTAGCCATGTTATTGTTAAATGAATTATGATATGCTCTCCCAGTTGAATACTATGTAGGCATTAAGAGGAATGAGAAAACTTTATATATCTGTATGGTACTATCTCAAATAAACATTATTAAGTGGAAAAAAAAAAAAACCCCACAGTTCAGAACAGTGTGTATGATATGCTGCCATGTGAAAAGGGAAAAACACATACGTACTTTTTGCTTAATATGCAGAAAGCAAATATTTCTTTGAAAGATACAAAGAAAAACTGCAGCCCTCCCCAGACCTACTGAGAGAATCTGTGCAGCTGCTGGCTCTGAGGTTTACTGAAGTTTGATAAGCATTGACCTTGTGGGGGGAAAATTTATTTGAGAAGTACTTTGAGATTTGCTGTTCCAGTTCTAACAGGTAGAATTTCGCCCTGTTTCTCAAGTCTAGTTTACCCTCTCCCAGAACCTTAGCTCTAATAAAAAGCTACTTACCTCTGTGACCTCACCTCTGTCCCAGTAAACTACTTAGTTCCATCGTGTCCAACGTCTTCTTGGTGTGTAAGGGGCCTGGGCCACGGAACTGGGTCAGGGGACCTGGAACCAGGATGGACCTAAACATACAATTCTGGAGGCAGTTCCTTCCTTCCTCCTGATACGGACATCTGGGATGAGAGAAAAATACAATGGTCAGTTCAAAGAGTAAGCAGAGAGCAAAATCAGAGCCCTAGGTATGGGTTGACAGCAGAGGGCAGAGATGATAGAGGAACAGGCTGAGAGAAGGAAGATGTCCCCTAAGGTGACAGAATTGAAGACACTTTTAAAAGGAAGCCAAGAACTGAGCCTCTGGTTGGGAAAAAGTAGGGAACAAGTTCAGACCTTGTGTTCTTCCAGAATCAAAGCTCTGCTTTCTCTTTCCAAGCAATCACTGACATCATCAACATACACCCATGAACTGAGTCATGCAGCTGGGCCTTTGGCAAACAGTTCCATACTTCTGGGAGCTGCCTACCCACCTGCCTAAATTTCTGAATGCCTCCTGTTCCCACCAAACACGAAGTACCTTCAATCTCTAGGGATATTCCTTCAAGACTGATCTTGCTCCTAGAACCTGGAGCTGTATCTGTTCTTCAGAGACCCATCCCCTGTACTGGTCTGATACCCAGATCCCAGTTCTTCAGGTCTGCATTGTGATCCCAAAGGGAATCAAGCCCCATGGGGCCTCATAACCTGGTGGCTGATTGAATTTCATATCCCAGGTTAGATGGGAGTTCTGCCTGGAATTACGTGGCCTGTTAACACAACTGCCTGTAACCACATGAAAAGTGACTAATCGGGGTGCCTGGGTGGCTTAGTCGGTTAAGCGTCCGACTTTCGCTTAGGTCATGATCTCGCGGTTCGTGGGTTCGAGCCCCGCATCGGGGTCTGTGCTGACTGCCAGCTCAGAGCCTGGAGCCTATTTCAGAGTGTGTATCTCCCTCTCTCTCTGACCCTCCCCTGCTCACGCTGTCTCTCTCTCACTCTCTCCTAGAAATAAATAAAAATATTAAAAAAAAAAAGAAAAGTGACTAATCTTGATGCAGGTTTAATTCAGGGTGATGGACACCAATGGAGGAAACATTTGGCTGGTATTAAGCTCATACAAGTACAGGACCTTAGTTATCAGATGTCAGAAAAATAGAGCAAGGAGGTTAATGGATAACAGCTGGCAGAGGTTAGACTTGATCAAGGATATGCCATGTCAAACAAGCAGAGGCCTGTGATATAAATCTGATTCTGAAGCAACATCTGTCCCAGAGTACTCTTTACCAAGGCAAGCTTGGTACGGGAGTGTGCTTAAAAACGTCTCACTCAGGTAAGCAATCATAGGTGGCCAAGGAGGGGGCAAGAGAGTGGCAGAAGGCTCTAAACTTAATAGGTATATAGGTAGCTCGGTGGAGAGACCACTGGACTATGTTGCCTGTAGACATGAGTACTGCTCCTAAGTCTCTCTCGGCCCCTCGTTTCATGACCTCCACCCTGATTCCAAACCTTGCCCAGTGGAGCCACCTGGCTTTCAATCCAGTATCCCTGATTCCAGTAACTTGTTCTACATCCATCCACCATCTGACTCCGATGACTGAGAACAGACCCTTGGCCTCTTTAGGTCTGTTTGGTATAACAGAGCATTACCAGCATAAGCCATCACTGTTAGCAATCTTGGAAACAAACTTTGATCCCTGAGAGTGAACAGCTTGTGTCCTTATCAGCTGGGGGCACTGTCTATGAAGTTCTTAATTAAAAAATATATATATATCTTGGCACATGCTTAGTCTATAGAAACTTTTAGCTAAAAAGAGGAACAAGTTCTCTATACATGAAATTTCCTGGTCACATTAGTATAAAGAGTGATTTTTAACCAAGGGTTTTTGTTTGTTTGTTTGTTTTTAATGAAGTAAAAACTTATTTTAAAAGGGGAAGAAACATCATGAAGCCCTTTGGGGGCTTTAGTTGTCTCTGATATTAAAGGTTGTCTATCTTCCCACATTCAGTCTGTGGACTGAGAAATGTGTTCCACTTTTCCAGGGAAGTAGGTTCTGCCACAGTTGTCCCCACAGTGTCAGCAATGCAAGTAAATGCTAGCAAAATAACTGTCTTCCTCATTAGTTAAAATTCCGCCTGCTCTTTTCTCTCCTTTCTCCCTGACACAAGTCAGCTGTTAGCATTAAAAAAAATCTGAATTTCCTAAACATGTGACACATTTAGAAGTCTCCTGAACACTCACGTACTGTTGAAATGTTGAAGTTTTTCTACCACAGTGTCTTAACCCATCTTGCTACTGTCCAGCCATCCTCAAAAGTAACTCATTATTGGGGCACCTGGGTGGCTCAGTCGGTTAAGTGTCCGACTCCGGCTCAGGTCATGATCTCACGGTTCGTGGGTTCGAGCCTCACGTCGGGCTCTGTGCTGACAGCTAGCTCAGAAGCCTGGAGACTGCTTCGGATTCTGTGTCTCCTTCTCTCTGACCTTCCCCTGCTCACGCTGCCTCTCTCTCTCTCAGAAATAAATAAAACATTAAAAAAAAAAAGTAACTCATTATTTCACTGCCTGACTTGAACATTTTAAAGAGTATCTCATGTTCCACAGGGTAAATTTGAGCTCCTCACCCTGGCATTGAAAGCCGTCCATCTGACCTTATCTCCTACTAGTACCCTAAAGGAACTCCTATTTCAAGCCAGAAATATCTTCTCACTGCCCCTATTAAATATCTTACATACTACTGATACTTCATCTCCACTCCTGCCATTTCTTTTTCGTTCCCACTATACAATGTTTCCATTTAAAAAAATATCTAGTTCAGGTCCGTCCTTCTTCATAAGCTTAGCTCAGTGAGCTCTCTCCCCTTGTTACCTCTACAGAACCTATTTGCTCTGTTTCCTTCATTTGGCATGTTGGTTTACGACAGTCCTTGTATTTTTAACTTGTTTTTTTCCATTCTACTCATGTACATATTTACCTTTTCACATTGGATGTTTGACTTTGAGGGCAAGGATCATATCCACCATTAGATTAGCACACAGTGGACTCACAATAAATATTTACTAATTTTAATTGATTGACAGTTAAAAGAGGACACCCTTGCTTTCATCTTTCCCCATAACCTCCCCTACTTGCTTCTATCATGAATCATTCCAGTTCCAAAAGGCCAACATTTTCTTTCTGGTTTGAACTTGTCTGGAATTCCAGGTTTTAGCCCTTCCAGGAAGGGCACTCTCCAGGAGACAGAAAAGCTCTGAGGAGTAGTAGGATGGCTCTCTCCATGGCTGCCACTTTCTTTCCAAGGTGAAAAGAGTTCTCCCCCATTAGCATGCTGCTGCCTCTTAAGCATTCTAACTCAAGGTGAATAAACAAAAAAGATCTTCTCTTAGGTCACCTTAGCACAAAATGGACAGGCTTTATTAATTACTAAGGGAGGCCAAAAGGAAAACAAAAAAAAATGTAAAAGATATACATATGTATACATATTTATTTAAAAGACATACATAGGTGTTGCCTGGGTGGCTTAGTCGGTTAAGCACTGGCCTCTTGATTTCAGCTCAGGTCATGATCTCACAATTGTGATCTCACATCCAGCACAGAACCTGCTTAAGATTCTCTCTCTCTCCCTTTCCCTTTGCCCCTCCCTTGTTCTCTCTCTCTCAAAAAAAAAAAAAAATGTATCGTATATTATGTATACATATTTATATACATAATATATTTTTTTAAACATTTATTTATTGTTGAGAGAGAGAGAGAGACAGAGCAAGAGCAGGGGAGGGGAGTGGCAGAGATAGAGGGAGACACAGAATCCAAAGCAGGCTCCAGGCTCTGAGCTGTCAGCACAGAGCCGGATGTGGGGCTTGAACCCACGAACCATGAGATCATGACTTGAGCCGAAGTTGGACACCCAACCGACTGAGCCACCGAGGCACCTCTTCAGGTGTTTATTATAATGTTTAAAAATAATCAAATAAATACATAAATTATCATAAGAACAAAATGTATTAAACATAACTAATTGTGGGGCACCTGGGTGGCTCAGTTGGTTAAGTGTCCAACTTAAGCTCAGGTCATGATCTCACAGTTCATGGGTTCGAGCCCCGCATTGGGCTCTGTGCTGACAGCTTGGAGCCTGGAGCCTGCTTTGGATTCTGTGTCTCCCTCTCTCTCTGCCCCTCCCCTGCTTGTGCTTTGTTTCCCTCTCTCTCAAAAATAAATAAACATTAAAAAAAAATAACTGAGAGAGCGTGAGCAGGGGAGGGTCAGAGAGAAAGGGAATCACAGACTGAAACAGGCTCCAGGCTCTGAGCTGGCAGTCAGCACAGAGCCCGACGCGGGGCTCGAACCCACGAACCGCGAGATCATGACCTGAGTGAAAGTCGGACGCTTAACCGACTAAGCCACCCGGGTGCCCCCATAAAGTTTTAAAAAGAATTGGGAACTAATAACTTTCATAGCGAAGAAACTTTTATCTAAAGTTCAGTAATTCATACAGTTTCACTTCAATTTCTTCTACCTTCACTAAATGAAAATAAAAAGTTATCTTTTGTTTTAAAATAGCATAGAGATTATGATTCCCATTTTTGTTCACCAATCTTTGTCGCTGTATCTATATTTGTCTACCTACCTACCCACTATCTTTCTGTCCATATCTTAGTTGCATATTAAATACCTTGAAAGATCTTCAACAAATGTCATTTGTTGTAGGTTTAAATGGTAGAATTTATTTTTGTTTATGTATTTTAATAAGCATATGTATTAATTTAATTTTTAATGTTTATTTTTGAGAAAGAGATTGACAGGCAGTGCTCAAATTGGGGAGCGGCAGAGAGAAAGAGACACCCAGCATCTGAAGCAGGCTCCGGCCTCTGAGCTGTCAGCACAGAGCCCGATGCAGGGCTCAAACTCATGAACCACGAGACCATGACCTGAGCTACAGTCGGATGCTTAACTGACTGAGCCACCCAGATACCCAATCATCATGTATTACTTTGATAAAATATATCAACTCTGTAAAAACCAAGTTTTTTAAAAACCAAGGAATTGTCTCACTTTCTCCTAGAAAAAAAAATTTCATAACTATGTAGAAATGAAAACAAATACCTGCCCCTATACCCAGGCACTAACAGAACTTATATTTCAAGCA